GACTCGATGGCACCTGACAACAACAACAACAACAGCCTCCACAATTGAGGGGGTCATTTCCTTAGATAGTCGTGAGTTTTGTGAAATATTGCAACGTGTTAATGAATACTGGGACTTAAGGGAAGGGCGGAGATGTGATTGATATCAAGGTCTATGGGGTGGGATACCCTGCTGGAAAAGTCAGAGAGTTGTGATGTCTTTTACTTCCAATTATAGAGATCAGTCTCGTGCTGAACTTTCTAGAAAAAATTATTCATCCACAGGACATGGTCCTCTCCTCTTTACTCTCCTGATCAGGTTACCAGGTTCATATTTTTGGACATGTTTCTATTAAACCAATAGAAAATGAGGATCTATTGCAAGCCATGCACTGTAGGTAGAGATGATGGTGTCCTGCACCAACATGGTACGTGTTTTTAGGGAGCCGATATCCTGGAAGCAAGTAGCATTCAGTAAATAGCAGTCCAACCAGTAAGTGAATAAGCAGAAAAACATCAGGCAAACATGACTGTTACACAGTTGATTTGAGAGTCACTTTATTTCTTTATTTTACTTATGAATATGTGGTTCATTAAGGAAGTAACAGACTATAAATCAGAATCAGGATCAACGTGGAAGTAGCAGAATACAACAGAGGAGTCCAGGATACAGTTCATCAGTCAGGACAGCTTCCAATCAGAATAGTTCTTAGCAACTTCTCAGGCAAACACAGGGAGAGACGCCTTCCCTCTGCTCTGTCCAGCTCTGAGTATTCTCTAGACTGCCCGCTGCTGGGCTTTCTCTTTGTCTGTGCCCTACTCAAGCAAGTGTTACAGTTTTTAATTCCCCAATCAAGTACTCAGAGACACCCCACTCCACCAGCAAGCCTGCTGCATGAAGTTGCTCAGCTTTCGTGAAAATCCTTTAAGTAAGGATCCCTAGTGATGCAGGGGGTTAAGTGTTAGACCAATAACCAAAAGGCAGTTCAAACTCACCAATCACTTCATGGAAGAAAGATGAGGCTTCCATAAAGACTTACAGCCTTAGAAATCCTACGGAACAATTCTACAATGTCCTATAGCGTCACTATGAGTTGAAATTGACTCAGTAGCAGTGGGTTCAGATTGAATGAGTAAGGAAACCATCTCTAAAGAGGAGCCATTTAAGATGAGATCTAAATGACAAGAAGTAACCAGCCTTTGCAGTATCATAGGATTTTTCGTATATTGCTGTATTCAATGCTTACCTTGTATCACCCTTTGTAAAACTTCCTGGTTTTCATGACTTAAGCTTAATTCTTTTGATCCAAGGAACAATACCCAGGATCAAAGTAACTGTTCTCATTTGAAGCAAATTTAATAGAAATGAAATCTAAAAATAAGAATGGGAGATGATAGCATGGATTTACCGACGTAAAAAAAATGGAGTGGGTCTAGTCATTGAGTCTCAGTGAGGACCCTGAAAATGAGGAAGTTTATACATTAACTAAGGAGCTCTGGTAGCATAGTGGCTATGAATCGGGCTGCTAACCTCAGGGTCAGCAGTTCGAAACTACCAGCTGTTCAACGGGAGAAAGATGAGGCTTTCTGCTCCCATAAAGATTTACAGCGTAGGAAACCATGTACAGGGTTGCTAAGAGTTGGAACCGACTCCACAGCACACAACAACAACAACAAGGTCATCTGGGATGACCTTGTGATTCCAGAAGGAGGACAGGACAAGGAGAATAGGATGTGCTTACATCCACCCAGATAGTTATCTAAGGAATTAAGCAGTGAGACCCTAAAGGTAGAATGTTTGAGGAAGGTTATTTTATTGTTTCTCTTTCCCTAAAGGTAGCATGTTTGAGGAAGTTTATTGCCTTATTATTCCTTTTTCCAAAGAATGCTATCTTGATGTTAAAATAGACGAAGTGTACATCCAATTGTAACTTACCCTATATAGTGTGCCTGCTGTTTGTGAAAGATAGGAGGATCTTGAGAAATTATTCTCTCCATCCTCCAGACTGCTGGCTTTCTGCTAATAAAGCTTGGATTGGTTTTATAAACACAACAACACAAAGTAACCAGCCATGGAGTGCCCAGGAAGATCTTTATTCCAGGAAGAGGAAGTAATGCAGTTAAAGGCCCTGTTATTTGTTTTGTGTGTCATCACTTCCAACTCAGTTACACTGTAGGTCAAAGTTGTTGTTAGGTGTCATCGAGTTGGTACTGACCCATAGTGACCTTACACACAGCAGAACAAAACATTGCCCGATCCTGGGCCAACCTTACCACTGTTGTCACGCTTGAGTCCATCGATGCTGCCACTTGGCCAATCCATCTTGTTGGGGGTCTTCCTCTTTTTCTCTGACCCTCCACCTTACCAAACATGATATCCTTCTCCAGTGACAATATGTTCGAAGTATGAGAGACAAAGTTTGGCTATCTTGGCCTCCACGGAGCACTCTGACTGCACTTCTTCCAACATAGATCTATTGGTTCTTTTGACAGCCCATGGCACTTTCAAAATTCTCCTCCAACACCATAACTCAAATGCATCAATTCTTCTACCGTCTTCCTTATTTACCGTCCAGCTTTTGCATGCATTTGAGGTTATTGAAAACACCATGGCCTGGGTCAGGTGCACCTTAGTGCTTTATCCCATAGCACCACACCAGGGCTCCATGACATTAATTGTTGTTGTTGTTAAGTGCCGTCGAGTCAGTTCCAACCCATAGCAACCCTGGTATATGCAAATCCGTGTCATCACTATCAATAACTCAAAGAGATCATATTAGAAGATACTGGATAAAGTGGGAGGAAAATGTGGAATGAAAATCAAAAGCACAAAAAAGATCAGTCTTACTGGTCAGATAGAGACCGGTGGAACCCCTGAGACTATGACCCTTAGTTACCCTTCAGACATTGAACTGAACTCACTCCAATGGCTCAATTTTAAGCCAAACAGTAGACATGTCTATCAGCTGAATGAAAACACTAGGAAGTTATGCACTCCTTAGAATAATCAACCATTTTAGATCAAATGAGCAGTATTTATACCAACAGCAGTCAGAACCAACTCAATGGCACTTAACCACAAGTCCTCCAACTTTTAAACTCATTTTCAAAGTTCTTTTATTTATTCTAGCTCCTTTGCTTTCCATATAACATTTGAAATCATCTTATTTCTATTTACCAAAAGTCCTCCTGGGATGTTTGTTGGAATTATATTAAATATTTAGATAATGGCATTATAGTAGATATATAAAATTATATTTAGGTAGAATTGATAACTTTATTATGCTTAATTTTCTAATCGATGAGCATGGTAATGTCTCTCCATTTATATCCAGGACCTAGAAATTCCTCTCTCAGAAATTGCTCATATACTTCTAGTCAGTCATTTGAAACATGAAACATTATCTATGTCATAGTTAGTCATTGAGTGATAGTTTATGATAGTAAATTTTTAATTTTATCTATTTTTTGATACCAATCAGTACACCCTTGTAATTTATTTTTGTGTTTTAAGGTTTAAAAAGTGTTTTTAAGTTTGTACTTGCTAATAGGAAAACATTAACTGAATGAATACCCTAATGGCAAATGAGTGTAAAATGTCTCATCTGCATTGGAGGCTGCAGGGAAGGGTGGTCTCAGAGCATCCTAGCTTTCTTGACACTGGTTTTTATTCTTGCAACATCCACTGACTGCTCCACATTGCTTTTCATTCAGCAAGAGTTTTGTCGGAAGAGCATTAGGCCTGACCTCCAAACTTGGCTGACAATTTACTGATGAGATTCATGACCTTAGAGTTACTCTGACATTTGGACGTGTTTGCCAGGTTCAGAGCCACCTCCTAGAAGACAGCCATAACTTCTGGATATTGTGTGGCTGCAAGAACCTCTGGATCACCAAGAATCTCATTGAGCCCAGGCATGCCACCTGCCATTCCTGGCATGTTCCTAGCCACCTGGAAAAGAGCCATGCTGAGCTCCAGATTGCCTTCTGGCTTCTTCTTCACTCAGGGCTCTTTCAATGTTCTTCCTGAGCCTTCTTAATGCTGTCCATTCTTTCTTTGATCTCTTACCCTTCACATTTTCGCTCATACTTTCTCCAATGTTCTGCAATTTTCTGGACCCTCAGTTGAACTTCTTTCAGCATTGCATTAGAATCTTCATCATAGTCCAGTTTACAAGCAAGAGCAAGGTCATGTGCTGAATCAGGATTAATTTCAATGGCTCAGTCACAGTCTCAGATGGCAGCATTTGGCTTTGGTAATTTGATGAAGACACTGGCTCTCTTGGCATACAGAATGGCCAAGTGAGGATTCAGTTTGATGGCATCTGTAAACAAGTTGATGGCTTTCTGTCATTCAGAATAATTGAGGACTTCAACGGCAGCCATTTTCTTACCATTTGCCTGATCCATCATCTCTTCAGTTATCTCTACAGTTTCATCTCCCATTTCTTGAGGGACATCTATATCTGGTTCAATCACACCTTCATTTCTTAATCACTTTCTTCACTTGATGGTTCATCTGTCTTTATGCTTTCTTCTGACTTCTTATTATCTGTTTTTTTCTGTGGTTTTCTCTTCTGATTTGGCTTTCTGAGTAGCAGATGGAATTTTACCACCCATACTTTCCACCTGCTCCCTCAGGAAGCGCATTTCCTCAGTGTACAGCATGCTCAGGTCCTGCTTACACTTTCACCAAGCCGGCAGCTTGCTCACTTTGCAGGGTCCAGGCAGAGGTAGAGGGCACAGCTGAGGAGTCTGGAGCCTGATTCAGGGCCAGGCATTAGCGCAGCACGACCACATAGACAGGGCAATTTTATCTATTTAAATATACATCAATAATGGAATATTCAATTATTGTGCAACCACATAGTACTTCAGTATGTAGTCATCAGGAAAAAGGAAGAAGAGAAACAGTAAACAGATGGATTTACCATAATATATTGTTCCCCACTCCTCTGTCGGAGTCCTGGTGTGGCACTATGAGTTAATGCGCCAGACTGCCAGGCCATTTGAACTGTAAGGTCGGTGGTTCAAGCTCACCAGTCACTTCTTGGAAACCCTATCAGGGTTGCTATGGGTCAGAACTGACTCAACGGAACTTAACAACAACTCCTCTGTCAGTTTGTCATACTCTTCCAGACTAAAAAAAAATGAAGACAAAGAAGGAATTAATGGTCCACTTCTGAGGGATTAGCCATTGTAAACTTTATGAAAAGCATCAAACGTTGTCTGATATTATGCCAGAACATGAGCCTGTTGGGTTGGAAAGCACTCAGAATACAATTGGGGAACAACTGTCCATTCAAAGTAGAATTGACCTTAATGACATGAATTTGTTGTTGTTGTTAAGTGCCATCGAATTGATTCTGACTCATAATGATCTTGTACAGAGTTTCCAAAGAGCAGCTGGTGAGCTTGAACCACCGACCTTGCAGTACAAACTTATCTTGCAGTCCAGTGCTTTATTTTAGAGTGCCACACCAGAACTCCTAATGACATGAATAATGACCTTCATTTCCTGATGGGTCATGATTCAAAGCAAGAATAAACAGCTACAAATATCTATTATTAATTGGAAAATGGAGTGTTTGAAGTAAGAATCTAGGAAAACTGGGAAGTTGTCAAAAATAAAATAGAACACATAAAGCTCAATATTGTAGCATTAGTGAACTGAAATGAACTGGTATAGACCATTTTGAACTGGGCAATCATATAGTCTACTATGTTGGGAATGCAAAATGAAGAGGAACAACTTTAAATTCATTGTCAAAAAGGCCATTTCAAATCTATCTTTAAGTACAATGCAGCCTATCATAGAAAAATGATAGGAAGACTAGTTAATTCACCTCACTACCAAGAACCAGCAAAACCAATGATGAAGAAATTGAAGAATTCTACCATTTTCTTCAGTGAGAAATTGATCGAACATGCGAGCAATATGCATTGATTATTATTGGTAATTGAAATGCATAAGTTGGAAACAAAGTTGGATCCGTAATTGGAAAATATAGCTTTGCTAATAAAAAATTATGCTGGAAAACTCATGACCCACACTTACTCATTGGAAATATAGTTCTTAATTATATAAACTGTGACTATACATGTGGACCTTGTTGTTGTTAAGTGCCATCGAGTTGGTTCCAACTTTTAACAACCCTGTTTAGGGTTTCCAAGGGGGGTTTGAATGGCTGGCCTTGTGGTTTAAAGTCCTGTAGCAGGAGTCCACATGTGGACCTAGTCAGACGGAATGAATATTGCAAGAAGAATCAACTTGACTACAGCGATGGGAAAAAAAATGATGGAGAAGTTCACTATCATCAGCCAAAACAAGGCCAGGGCTAATTTGAACAAACCTTCAATTGCCCATATGCAAGTTCAGACTGAACATGAAGAAAATTAAGAGGTAGCATATGAACAAGAAGCAGTGATATTGAATAACTGGCAAGAAAAAAAGGAGCCAGTAATTGTCAGAATACCAACTGAACTATTTCAACTAACTATAAGGAGCTCTGGTAGCGTAGTGGTTACGAATCAGGCTGTGAACCGCAAGATCAGCAGTTCGAAACTACCAGAGGTTCCGCGGGAGACAGATGAGGCCTTCTGCTCCCGTAAAGATTTACAGGCTCGGAAACCCTGTGCAGGGTCGCTATGAGTCGGAACCGACTCCATGGCACTTAACAACAACAACAACAAATACAACACTGAAAGCACTTAAAAGTATATGCCAAATAATTTATAAGACAGCTACCTGACAAACTGCTGGAAGAGATCCATATCTGTGCCCATTCTAAAGAAAGAAGACCCAACAGAATGTGAAAATTATCTAGCAATGTCATTAATAAATTTTTGCTAAAAATAAAATTTTGCTAAAAAATAATTTTAAAATGGCTATAGCAGTACACTGGCATGAGTTTCCAGAAATTCAAGTTAGATTCAGGAGAAGACATGGAATCAGGAATATCATTGCTGGTGTCAAATGAATCTGGGTTGAAAGCAGAGAATACTATAAATATCTTTACTTATGTCTTATTGACTATGCAAAGACATTTGACTGTGTGGATCATAACAAACTATGGTATGGGTAACATTTTGAAAAATGGGAATTCCAGAATACTAAATTGTACATCAACCAAGAGGTAGTAGATATTCAAACAGAGCAAGGCGATACTGAATTATTTAAAATCAGGAAAGGTAGCCTTAGAGTTGTATCCTTTCACTTTTTCAGTCTACATGTTGAGCAAATAATTCAAGAATCTGAACTATATGAAGAAGAAGGCCACGTCAGGACTGGAGGAAAGCTCATGAACAACCTGTAATAGCTAAGTGAAACAAACTTGCTTGCTGAAAGCAAAAAGGAGTTGAAACAGTTACTGAAGAGGATCAAATAATTCAACCTTCAGTATAGATTACAACTCAATGTAAAGAAAACAAAAATCCTCACGTAAACAACATCATGATAAATGAAAAGAAGATTGAAATCATCAAGGATTTCATATTACTTGGATGCACAATCAATGCTCATAGAAGCAGCAGTCAAGAAATTAAGGAACTTACTGCATTGAGCAAATCTGTTGCAAAAGACTTTTTTTAAAAAGTGTTCAACAGCCACGCCATGGTGTTTTCAATCATCTCACATGCATGTGAAAGCTGAACAATGGATAAAGAAAACTGGAGAAAATTTGCTGTATTTGAATAAATGTGTTGGTGAAGAATATTGACAGTACTATGGGCTTCCAGAAGAATAGACAAATCTGTCTTGAAAGAAATACAGCTTAGAATGCCAGTAGTGCATCCCGGGAAAAAGATATCACACTTGGTAGAGGATCATCGAACTAGAAGAAGATCACCAGTAAGATGGATTGACAGAGTGACAGCAACAATGGGCTCAAACCTAACATCTGTAAGATGGTGCAGAACCAGGAAATGTTGCGTTCTGTTGCGCATAGGAACATTATGAGTCAGAGCCAAATTGACAACACCTAACAACAACAAGAAGATCTATTGTTAAGGGGGAACAAAGGGACTAGAGAAAGTGTGCTGTATACTATGATCTATGTAAAAGAAGGTGAAAGACTAAGTATGCATATACCTTTATTAGCTTGCTTTTGTAATTCTCAGAAAAAGAAGACAATGGGGTGAGTCCCAGAGTTTTCATTTTAGTCTTTTCATCAGAAATAGAAAAGCAGACAGGAAGCTTCAATCAATACCAGAAAGAACTCTAATGCTGGTGGTACTTGTAATGATGACAGCAACAAGAAATCCTCTGAGACCCGTTGGGCGTCATGACGTCCAGGGGTTGATGGTGTCTGTGGTGAGGGTTACAGTAGATCAGCCAAAGGAGTCTCTGTGACCAAAGTGGCACCCTAAAGTTTTTACCCTCAACGTACAGCTCAAACACATGAACAATAAGGAGCGGCAGCTAAGATGGTGATGATGAAGGAAAGCCAGTGAAGGAAGGCATTGGAGCTACACTCTCGGGGGTTTATGGAGAGACCTATCTTAAAAGAATGCCTTGTTAATGTTGAAAGCAAATTGCCAGGTCTTTCTCCCAGAATGCTGCTGGGTGGGTTCCAACTGCCAATCTTTCATTTAGGAGCCCAGAAATTAACTGTTCTGCCTCTGGGGTTTCCTAACAGAACTTTCCTTAATGGAGTTGAGTTCAGAGAAGGGGGAGATCCCTTCTGTTCTGAGTGGAAATGCAAGTGAATTTTTTAATCCCAACATATATTAAAATAACTTCTATTTTTCCTGTCCTGGTGGACATGTTCCACTTCACTCAAGGTACCAAACTTTCTTTAAAAATGGGGAGGGGGCTCTGTCATAGTTTTCTATGTCTGATTCCCAAAGAATATTCATTATTCTTCTGAATGAGTTTTTTGATCATTTAAACAAATAGAGCATTCTGTTACTCTCATTACTTGTCATAATGAATATTTTCAAATTAATGTATCACACAATTAATATGAATGATAATGAATTTTCTTACATATTCTCTGTCAAGCTTTGTAATAAATAGGTCCTTAGTAGCAGAATAGATCTATACATTTCAAATATTTTCAAAGCTTATTTCTATTCCTTCCATTGTAAATTTTTAAAGAAAAACATAAATATAATAAATACCTCCTTTCTTAAGTTTAACTTCTTAAATCTCTTAAGAAATACAGGACACTAAGAATGCTGAGCCTCAACATTGAGATCTTTCAATATTTATTCAACAAATATTAGTATCTCTCTCATGTGCAAATGTTGATATTAATAGACATTAGAATTTTCCATGCCTGTTGATGTTGTTTTAGAGTAATGAAGAAAAGCGAGGAAATTTAGACTATTCCTTATTTCTATAGAAGTTGATGTTTTCTAAGATAAAATTCAACATATTGCCTGTCAAGACAGGTCTATTCCAAGCTAATAAGAAAATCAGGACAACTTTTAGAATAAAATAAGCTTAAAAAAGGAGAGCAATTATTTTTGACAAGTGCCTTGGAGTCCTGGTATGGTGTTATAGGATAAGCACTGGACTGCTAACCACACAGTTGGCAGTTCACACCCACCAGTAGTTCCTTGATAACCCTATGCAGGGTGTGTGTCTTGTAGATGACATATTGAAGAATTCTGTTTTCTTATCTATTCTGCTACTCTCTGTCTCGTGCCTGGTGCATTTAATCCATTGGCATTCAGTGTAATTATCAATAGGTATGATTTAGTTGCTGTCATTATGTTGTTTGTTTTTTGTGGTTCTGCTGGTTTGTTTGTTCTGCTTGCTTTCCTGTGCTGAGTTCAATTTTTCTTGTGAATTTCTTCATAGTTTTAATATTTGCAAAATCTTCTTGGGTTTTCCTTTTCTTTCTTTGATGTGGAGATTAAGTTTCTTTGCTCTTGTTGTCATTAAGTACTGTCGAGTCAGTTCTGATCCATAGAGACTTTATATAAGTTTTCCAAAGAGCAGCTGGTGAACTTAAACCACCGACCTTATGGTACAAACCAACCTTGCAGTCCAGCACATTAACTCACAGTGCCATACTCTGTAATTTATTAATTTCTTCCTCATTTAAAAATAGTCTGTATTATCCTAAAGTCTATATGATCTCCTTACCAACTGGATCTCTGATACTACACTTTTCCCTTCTTTCACTTTATAGTTGTTCTGATCATAGACTGAGATCCCAGACCCCCTATTTTCATTCTTGTAGTTTTGTTGTTCTCTGGCCTTATCAATATCTGGACTGAGTGCGAGGAGGTGTTGCCTTGTATGTGAATCTCTGGTTGTTGTCTGTTCTTGTGGGTTCTCAGTCCAAGTAACTCCATGTAGTATGTTTTGAAGCACTGACTTGGCTTTTTTCGAAATTGCTTAATTTCTGTTTATCCAGAAAAGTTCTGATTTCACCATCATATTTGACTGACAGCTTTGCTGAGTATATGATTCCTGGTTGGCAGTTTTTTTTTTCTTTCAGAGTTTTTTATATGCCTCCCCATTGCCTTCTTGCCTACATGGTTTCTGGCTGAAAGCAGAGAATACCAGAAAGAGCTTAAGTTTTGTTTCACTGACTATGTAAAGTCATGACAAACCATGGTTAGTATTTCAAAGAATGGGAATTCCAGAACATTTCATTATACTCATATGGAACCTGTCCATAGATCAACAGAAACAAAGGGCTATAGAATGGTTTAGAATCAGGAAAGGTGTGCATCATGGTTGTATTCTTTCCTCATATTTATTCAATCTGTCTGCTGAGAAACTGTTCTATATGAAGAAGAACACAGCATCAGGGATGGAGGGAGGCTCATTACCAACCTATTGCTAAAACTATGTGAGAACCATATCTGACTTCCTTTGGCTTCACAGGGAGAAAGAGAATCAAACTGAAAATCAGCTGAAGGCCAACTTCTGTGAAGCAGACATCAGACATGCTTCTACCCTACGATCTTCTTTACTGTATTCTGATGCCAACCATCCCTCCCACAGCTCTCTCTGCTTCACATCTGTATTCGATAATCCATTGCAATGGCCACACAGAAGTCATAACAATACTCATGATGGTGGGGTTTATTAAGTAAGTGAACACAGTACAATTCAGGATCAAAACCAAATCAGGACGCAGCAGTCCTCTAGTCAGGAACGCCTCTTGTCTGCCATACTGCAGGCATGGCGTACTCTTATCTTCAGTCTCTGTCATGTGATCCTTTGGCATCAGCCCTGTTTGTGCATGGGTTACATAATTCTTTTTGCCGATCTGTGAATGCCCAAAGGGGACATTCTGCAAGCCAGTTGCTGTCCTATAAGTACTCAGCTTTACTCCATCCATGAGCCTAAAGTCCGAAGCTGCTGTGTCTCTCCATGACACCGCCTCTGCCATCACCTCTATGTAGACATCTCACATGCCACTTATTCTTTTCCTTTTTGATGGTTCTGGAATCTTCTATCTCTGTTTCTATGATAGCTCCTTTTAAACTTTACTGGAGGGCAAACCTAGCCAATCCAAGCTTTAGCAACCTGTGCACCTTATTTGCAAGGTCTCATCCTGGTGTCCTAGCATGGCACTGTCAGTTAATGCACTGGACTGCAAAGTAAGTTTGAACTGCAGGTCGGCAGTTCCAGCTCACCAGACACTCCTCGGAAACTCTATACAGGGTTGCTATGAGTCAGAACCTACTCCACAGCGCTTAACAACAAACAACATCTTGGTGTGGTACTGTGGGTTAATGCGCTAGATGGCAAGGTTGGTTTAAACTGCAAAGTTGGCTGTTCAAGCTTACTATCTGCTCCTCAGAAACCTTCTACAGAGTCACTATTAGTTGGAACAGACTTGATAGCACTTAACAACAACAACAACAATCTATTTACTTGGTGGGAATTAATAAGAATTTGGATAGAAAAGCCTTATCAAGTAAATTAAAAGCACCACACCTATGGTATGCAAACGACACAATCTACACAACCTCGCTTGCTGAAAGTGAAGAGCATTTGAAGCACTTACTGATGAAGATCAAACACTGCAGAACTCAGTATGTATTACACGTCAACTGAAAAAAATTACAAGTAGACCAATAAACAACATCATGATAAGTGAAGAAAAGATTTAAGTTGTCAAGGAATTCATTTTACTTGGATCTACAATCAACACTCATGGAGTAGTAGTTAAGAAATCAAATAATGTATTCCCTTGATGAAAACTGCTTTTATAAAAAATAAAAACTCTGAAGTGTTAAAGAGCAAAGATGTCACTTTGAATACTAAAATTTGCCTTATATGGACAACAAATACAAAAAATTGAAGAATTGATGCATTTGAACTATAAAATTGGTGAAAAATATTTAGTATACCGTGGACTACCAGAGAGTGAACAAATCTGTGCTGGAAGAAGTACAGCTAGAATGCTTCTTAGGAATGAGGATGGCAATACTTGGTCTCGTATAATTTGGACTTGGTGTAAGACTGGGCAGTGTTTTGTTCTATTGTATATGGGGTTGTTTTGAGTTGAGACCATTGAACCGCACCTAACAACAACAACAATGAATAATGGATACTAAATTATTTGATTGAAATTGATGTCTTTACCGCAAAATTTTAAATATGTTAAGAGAAATGTCCTATACATTGGTGTATAATTACCAAAGAAATAAAATAATTAGAAAGGTTATTAATTTTAGAATAGAAATCTGTTTTCCATATTTACATATCTATAACCATAATATTCATGGATCTTTAGAGTACTCATGTACTCATTGATAAGGAAATTGAGGTCTCATCTCAAAAACAGGGCTCTGGTGAACTTTCAGCATAAAATCTGTTAATATCGTATAGTGTTCTTCATCTTTATCTAGTTTTCAAACTTTGAGATAAAAACATCTTCAAGCTTAAGATAAATGTACTCTTTTATCCACCGCACATTCTCCAAGGGCATGCTTTCCATAGCTCACTGTCTAAAAGAGAAGGGGAAAAAGATATAGAAGGGGAGTCAAAAGCACAAAGGCATCAAAACTGCACTCAGATGACTGTCAGAATTAGGACTCAGAAGTTTTCTACTCTTCAACAAAGAAACTAGGCTACTTACAGTAAAATATGTATGTGTGTGTGTGTGTATTTTTATAATGTACTTTTCATCAAACAACTTTTAAATTAGATATCCTGTCCAATTTTTTTCTAGATACTGCTTCTTTACTTTCACAAAAACAGGACAGATGGCTTTTTTATTTTCAAATTGAATTATATCTGTACATATAAGAAGCAAGCTTTCCAGCTTTTGTCAAATTTTAAGAATTTACAGATAGTTTTATAAATGCAAAGTTTGCTCAGCTTTCTTAAAGTGTTCAAAAACTAGATGCTACAGAGCCATTGGACTTAATTGTAATGGGTGGTATGAAATATGTACCTGATACCCCAATTACAATTATTTTGAGTGACATTATAGATTAATAAAATAAAAACATCTGATGAGATAACCAAAGTGAATGATAATCTTAATTTCTCTTTGGGGATCCCTCTAAAGTCATCCACATACTCCCAATTTTACAATTTTCAGAAAAAAAACTGTTTGTAATTTTTAAAATCCGGACTTTGGGAAATGCTAAGATTAAATGATTTGGTTTCTTTTATATATCCGTTGCAAGAAAGACAGAAAAAGAAATTAAAAGGAATTTGAGAGATACAGCAACCAATGGTAAAGTAGGGAACATATTCTGATTCTGCTTTATATAACAAAATATTGAATATATATGCAAAGAATAGAGAAATAAGAACACTGCCTATTTTGATATTTGAGGATAATAAGGAATTGCTGTTAATTTGAGAGGGTGGTGAAAATGGAATTGTGCTTATTCTCTTTATAATGGCACCTACTGAAATATTTCCAAATATACTGTTTAGTATTCGCTTCAAACTGATCTGTGGAGAGGGCTAGGAAGAAATAGACCAAGATTGGTTATAGTTTGCTAAACTTGAAGCTTAGTGATTGGTTCATAAGAATTCATTAAATAGTCTCTTTACTTTGGATGATGATTTATATTTTCCATGATAAATCATTTAAAAATATTTAGAGGTGTCTTTTCTAATAGATTTTAGCCTAATAAACTGTCTCTATATTAACAGTTTAATTTTTTAGTAACAGTGATTTAAATTATTAATTACTAAGTTAATTGCCCAGAGAAAAACACAATGCATTTACTTTAATCTAAATTGGCTGGCTCTATCAATCAACTTAACAAAAGTATTGCTAAATCACTACCTCACATTAAGTGGAGTAGAAAGAGTAATCATTTTCAAGTAGTATCCTCCACAAACTCAGATTCTGCAGAAACACTTCAGAGTTTCCACAAACATTTCAGTCAAATTTCACTTGTTAAATATTTTTCCACTTACATTTTAAAACTGTCATGAAAATAAAACTGAGCTGTCTAATTTGGAGACCTACCTACCTGTTACCATCATAGGTAGTATGATTTTCTTAAAACCAAGGAATGAAGTTATTTTAACATCTCAGTTATATTGAATAAAGAACATCCTGAGATGTCAAGGTGAGAGGTTGAAAGAATAATAAGAATTTCCATTACTCATTTGTGTAAATCAGAGTTTTCCAGTCCTTAAAATGCATGAATTTTCCATGAATTGCAACACACAATATAGTGCTTTAGGAGTCCCATTTTCAATTATAATATTATTTGTTTTCTTTGACAACTTAATGTATGGAAATTTTTTGTTGATGTTGTTAAGTACCATAGAGTCGTTGGACTCATAGTGACCCTACATAGGGTTTCCGAGGCTGTAAACCTTTACGGGAGTAGACCGCCTCATCTTTCTCCCGCAGAACCACTGGTAGTTTCGAACTGCTGACCTTGAGGTTAGCAGCCCGATTCATAATCACTACACTACCAGAGCTCCTTTATGAAAAATTTTTAGTTGTGCTAAAATAATTTTATGCTAATCAAATGTTATCTTATCATTACTTATAAAAAGCACATGCTGGAATTTCCGATAAGATGGCAGACCAGGTAGACATGCAACACAGACCCTCTATAACAAAGCTTGTTGTTGTTGTGATGTGCCATGGAGTTGGTTCTGACCCATAACGACCCTGTACAGGATTTCCGAGGCTGTAAATCTTTGTGGGAGCAGAAAGCCTCGTCTTTCTCCCACAGAACAGCTGGTAGATTCGAACTGCTGATCCTGAGGTTAGCAGCCTGATTCGTGACCACTAGACTCTCACAACAAAGATAAAAGAGACCAAATGAAACAGGCACAGATGAAAATCCTGGAACTCTGAATTTCAGAAGAAGGTTAGAGAAGTGGATTGAGTGCCTGCTGAGAGGAGACTGATGAATAACCAGCCAGAAAAAGGACCATCTTGAACTTTTGTGAACAGCTTTGGCAGCAGAAGGTGGCCTCGCAGAGCAGAGTCACACACCAGCTGATAAGGTCTGATTCCTTCTTTTTCCCCATGCTCCCCTGGTGACCAGAGGTGTAACCAGCTCCCACTCTCATCTACCCCCAGCATAGCCCATGCTCTCCAGTAGTTGGAGCCATGTGGTTGGGAACCATACCAGCATGAGATGCGGACCCCTGGCACCAATTTGGTGCACTGTTTTGGAGGCTGCTATAAGGTGGGTTCAACTTAGGATCTGTAGAACCCACAGAGCCACCAGACCAACATTTAACCAGTCACCCTACACCCAGCTGCCCTGTGGTCCTAACAGACACTGAATCCAGCTCCTTTCAAGAGCCTCAATGAATTACTTCGGGATTGAGTGCCCTGAACACAGATAACACCAGGCTGATAAGAACTCCATCTAGGACCTGGATCTCTGTTGTCACATCCCTCCCACAACCACCTCATGAGCATCTTGGCTTATTACAGGTACCCCCAGAGTTTTCTTTTCTCCAGGTCAAACAGCTACACTGTTTTTATGGTTTTAATTTTTTTTTTTTTCTGTTTTATTATTTTTGTTTTTTTGTTCTTTTCCCTCCTTCTTCTCTTTCTAGTACTTGAATTTTATCTTTTTAATCTCATCTTTTGTTTTTCTTTCTTTTATTCTTTCTCTTATTTCCCCTCTTCTCCTCCCCCCCCTTTTGATCTTTCTTTACTATTCTCTACTTTCTTTCTTTTTTCATCTTCCCTCTTCCTGGTTTTTGTAAGAATTGTTTTTACTTTATCTTTCATAGCTCCATTTTCCTGTCCTTCATGTCTCTTTTTACTTATAGTCTATTTATTTATTTATTTATAGACCCTGCCTTTTTTTCTTTTCTTTTTGTTTTTTTTTTATTACTTTCTCTTTTCTATCATTAGTTTATAACTTGTTTACACTGTTTTGCTTTCTGGTGTGTGGGTGACAAGAGGGAGGAGGGGGGTTTCCCCCATTTCCC